CAAACACTGACCACTTTCAATGATCAGTTAATGGAATCCTGATTGTGCAAGGGTTGGGAAATATCGCGAGAGCAAATGTGGAAAATCAGGGTCCAAATGGCCAGCTTCCCTGCCCACTTCTGCTCAAGGAGGCAGGCAGCTGCCACTGACTTCCCTGGGGTGAGGGTGGGAGTTTGCTGTGTCACAGTGGTGAAGTCAGGGGATGCCGGAGGAGCGGACCTACCCCCGTTTTTCTTCCAGGCCTTCATCTCAACCCTGGGTGGGGCGAGCAGCCCCCTCCCAGACCCGCCTCTTCCTAGGAAGGCTGCGCACAGATACGACTCCCCGGGGAGGGGGGTGACCTCTGTGCCCCCCCAGGCTGGGGAGACCTGCGCTGGAGCGGGAGGAATATCCCAGAGCCCCTGAAATCAAGCCCTCCAGGTGGCTGTCTCCCCGCCCTGCGTCGGCCGCCTTTCCCATCCTCATGTTCACGTGTCCAGCACAGAAACCGCCACCACGCACACACGTACCTCGGTCCTGTCCCCTGACCTGTCACAGTCTCAGAGCCTCCAGGTTCCGCGCGCCTCTGTCCCTGCGTCGCTCGCTGGGTGAAGCGGCCACTCTATCCCCTCAGAGGATGGAGCAGCGGCGCGGGGAGAGGAAAGCAGGGGCTGGACCAGCTTCGCCGGGTCAGGATCTTCCTAACATAGTGTTTCTGAGGAGGAAGAGGTTTTTAGAAATAGGTTTCCAATGCAGTCGGCGGGGAAGTTCAGAAGTGATGCCAGATCACAGGGTGAGAACGTCTGGGTCACGGCGGTCTGAGTCAGGAAGGGACCGCGCCCACCTACCTACCCGGCGCGGCCAAAGGCCGGTGGGAGGTGGAGGGCGGAGGCTCCGCTGGGGCTGAGGGGACCCGTGCTGAGCCCCAGCCGAGCTTCGGAAGGGTCCCTCGAGAAGGATCGCTGTGCCGACGGCACAGGCAGCCGTGCGGAGAACAATCGGGGGCCTTTCAAGGCTTGCGCGAACTGGGGGTCGGGGGAGGGCCCGGACCAGGTGTTTCTGCCCCAGCAGGTCCCAGTCTTCACCGCTCAGCCCTGCCCTTTCCCGAGATTGGGGTGAAAACCGAAAGACATAGTTTACCTTCTCCCACCAACTCCTCGCCCTCCGTCTGCCCTGCAGCAGCCCGTACAGCTTCCTGTAACAGCTCCTCTCCTGCCTTCCAGAGGGCTCTCCCCGAACGCCCCCTCCGGAGAAACTCGGAGCCTCGGACCAACGCTGCTTCCCAGGAGAAAGTGTTCTTTCCCGGAGCTAGACAAACATTTGAAATGCTAGAACGTTGATGCTTTCAGAGTTCATAAAACGAAACCCTATTGTGAGCCGTAAGCGTTCAAAGCTTCCTTCTAGAGAAAAAGCACAGAAAAAGACCTTATTTTATTTTATTGTGCTCAAAAAACAAAAAAACAAAAAAAACAACCACACATGTAACACTGACCATCTTAGCCATCTTTAAAGGTACAGCTCAGCAGCTTCAGGTGCGTTCTTGACATCGTGCTGAGAGTTCCAGAACTATTCCATCCCACAGCCTGGAGCTCTGGACCCATTAGATGCCAATACTGCTCCCCCCTCCCCAGCCCCTGGTAACCACCGTCTACTTTCTGTGCCTATGATTTAGATACTTCCTGTGACTGGAATCAGACAGTATTTGTCCTATGTGACTGGCTTTTTACACTTAGCTTAACGTCCTCCCTGTGAGATGACTTTCAATCACGGTGCAGAGGCCCTTGAGCTCACACTGTCACTCCAGGCTGGGTCTATGAATTGTCTGAGGTGGGGCTGAGCCTTCCAGAGACCCCATGGAAGGAGGAGCAGTGGGGGCTGGACTGGGCTTTGAGGGGCTGCCGTGTCTCCTGGGGTCCCCCTCCCCTCTGGTCTTCAAGTTCAGTCCGCTGACGCCGCTACCAAGGGCTGGGGTGACACGGCTACACCTTGGAGGGGAAACCGAAAGACGGTCTCCCATGCCCCCACCCTCTTAGTAAGGAGGACCAGGTGCAGGAAGAATCCCCACCCTCCATGGGGCACTAGGTTAATTCACATAAAATCAACACATCAAAACCATCAGACAAGGGCTTCCCTGGTGGCGCAGTGGTTGAGAATCTGCCTGCCGATGCGGGGGACACGGCTTCGAGCCCTGGTCTGGGAAGATCCCACATGCCACGGAGCAACTGGGCCCCTGAGCCACAACTACTGAGCCTACGCGTCTGGAGCCTGTGCTCCACAGCAAGAGAGGCCGCGACAGTGAGAGGCCCGCGCACCACGATGAAGAGTGGCCCCCGCTCGCTGCAACTAGAGAAAGCCCTCGAGCAGAAACGAAGACCCAACACAGCCAAAAATAAATAAATAAATAAAAACAACCATCAGACAGAAGCCTGCCACATGGCCAGTCAGTCGTCCCAGCTGTGTCACTCCCAGAAGTGGAGGTCAGGTGAAGGCAGGGTCACAGGCCTGGTGGGATACCATTTCCCCAAAACAGAGAATACAGTAAACTGAGATCAAGAAAAGCTCCCTCTTTCTTAGATGAAATATGAAGCTTTGGGGAGCACTCTGAATAAAACCAAAGCCTCAAATAACTCCTCGATGAGTCAGCAGTTGATTATTTGCCGAGTCAACGATTTTGCAAAAAAAAAAAAAAAAAAAAAAACGATCCTCAACACATCAGCTTTTGGAGAATGGACTTCTGTGGGGAAGGCGGCTGATTCTGGTTGGGCCCGGATCTGGGGAAGGATGGGGCTTTCCTGCTCCCTAGTGGCTGTGTGGGTAATGACAAGGGCAGCAAAAGCACTCCCCAGGTGGCTTTTGCAAGGACTCTGCAGGTAAGACACCCCTCTTTCCCCTTCCCCTCCGAGACTCTCAAAGGGGGCGGGAGGGAGAGGGACTGGATTTCCAGAAAGTACATATGTAACATGTGTACTTCCTCTTGGAAGGCACAAGTTATGCGAACAAGGAGGAAGCTACCAGGACCCAGACACAGAGGTTCAAAGACTCTCCAGACACATCCCTGGCTCAAGGAGCTCAATCAAATGACAGAAAAGAGACTAAAGCTGTGGATATGAAAAGTGTACATGCGCTGCCATAGAAGCGTGTTCAGGAGGCCATGGGAGCAAAGAGGAAGGCTGTCAACTCCGCAAGATGGAGAAACAACCAAGTGGGAAGCAAACTCATCAACAAACCCATAAACCAGCCCTTTACTGTGCCAGGGACTTTAATAGAGGAGATTAGCAGGCACAGTAGAGGCAGAAGCTACACAGGGGAGCTTAAGCCTATCTGCAGTCTTGAAGGGCAGGTAGAAATTTCCCTGGGAAGGACACTCAGGCAGAGGGAGAGTGGCAAATGCCACAGGCAGTCAGAATGATGAGAACAGCTTGGGCACGTGGAGGAAATGGGGTCAGGCTGCAGGACCACTGAGAGGCTACTGCAATAGTCCAAGCTAGAAACAAGGACATGAACGAAAATAGTGACACTGAAAATGGACGTGGAAAAAGGAACAGATTTATGATAGATTTAGGAGCTAGAAACAGCACAAGAATAAAAAAGACTCATTCAGGGTTGCTTTTACAAGTGCTCCAAGTTGTCACATCAAAGGGAGTGCTACTCACAACATAGAAATTTCTTATTTCAAAAAAAAAAATTTATAGGTTGTTTTATTTCCAAGATAGGACATGTGTGCATACTACAATTTTGACAGATGGCAGTAAAAGTGTCTTGTAATTAAATTTGTATATTTTGACAGTTTTCAGATGTAATTAAAATGTCTTATTCAAACAAACTCCTTGTTTGTTACAATATTTATTATTAAGAAATAATATGCAGCCCTGAACCAAGATGGCGGAGTAGAAGGACGTGCTCTCATGCCCTCTTGTGAGAACACCAGAATCACAATTAGCTGCTGGACAATCATCGACAGGAGGACACTGGAACTCACCAAAAAAGATACCCCACATCCAAAGACAAAGGAGAAGCCACAATGAGACGGTAGGAGGGGCGCAATCACAGTAAAATCAAATCCCATAACTGCTGGGTGGGTGACTCACAGACTGGAGAACACTTACACCACAGAAGTCCACCCACTGGAGTGAAGTCTGAGCCCCATGTCAGGCTTCCCAACCTGGGGGTCTGGCAACGGGAGGAGGAATTCTTAGAGAACCAGACTTTGAAGCATAGTGGGAATTGATTGCAGGACTTCGACAGGACTGGGGGGAACAGAGACTCCACTCTTGGAGGGCACACACAAAGTGGTGTGCCCATCAGGACCCAGGGGAAGGAGCAGTGACACCAGGGGAGACTGAACCAGACCTACCTGCTAGTGTTGGAGGGTCTCCTTCAGAGGCGGGGGGTGGCTGTGGCTCACCATGGGGACAAGGACACCGGCAGCAGAAGTCCTGGGAAGTACTCCTTGGCGTGAGCCCTCCATTAGCCCCACCAAAGAGCCTAGGTAGGCTCCAGTGCTGGGTTGCCTCAGGTCAAATAACCAACAGGGAGGGAACCCAGCCCCACCCATCAGCAGTCAAGCAGATTAAAGTTTTACTGAGCTCTGCCCAGAGCAACAGCCACCCCTACCCCCCCCCAGTCCCTCCCATCAGGAAACTTGCAGAAGCCTCTTAGATAGTCTCATCCACCAGAGGGCAGACAGCAGAAGCAAGAAGAACTACAATCCTGCAGCCTGTGGAACAAAAACCACATTCACAGAAAGATAGACAAGATGAAAAGGCAGAGGGCTATGTACCAGATGAAGGAACAAGATAGAACCCCAGAAAAACAACTAAATGAAGTGGAGATAGGCAACCTTCCAGAAAAAGAATTCAGAATAATGATAGTGAAGATGATCCAGGACCTTGGAAAAAGAATGGAGGCAAAGATCGAGAAGATGCAAGAAATGTTTAACAAAGACCTAGAAGAATTAAAGAACAAACAAATAGGGATGAACAATACAATAACTGAAACGAAAACTACACTAGAAGGAATCAATAGCAGAATAACTGAGGCAGAAGAACGGATAAGTGACCTGGAAGACAGAATGGTGGAATTCACTGCTGTGGAACACAATAAAGAAAAAAGAATGAAAAGAAATGAAGACGGCCTAAGAGACCTCTGGGACATTAAACGCAACAACATTCGCATTACCTGGGTCCCAGAAGGAGAAGAGAGAAAGGACCTGAGAAAATATTTGAAGAGATTATAGTCAAAAACTTCCCTAACATGGGAAAGGAAATAGCCACCCAAGTCCACAAAGCTCAGAGAGTCCCATACAGGATAAACCCAAGGAGAAACAGGCCAAGACACATAGTAATCAAATTGGCACAAATTAAAGACAAAGAGAAATTATTGAAAGCCTCAAGGGAAAGACGACAAACAATATACAAGGGAACTCCCATAAGGTTAACAGCTGATTTCTCAGCAGAAACTCTATAAGCCAGAATGCAGTGGCATGATATACTTAAAGTGATGAAAGGGAAGAACCCACAACCAAGATTACTCTACCCAGCAAGGATCTCATTCAGATTCAATGGAGGAATCAAAAGCTTTACAGACAAGCAAAAGCTAAGAGAATTCAGCACTACCAAACCAGCTCTACAACAAATGCTAAAGGAACTTCTCTAAGCGGGAAACACAAGAGAAGTAAAGGACCTACAAAAACAAACCCAAAACAATTAAGAAAATGGTCATAGGAACATACATTACCTTAAACGTGAATGGATTAAATGCTCCAACCAAAAGACACAGGCTTGCTGAATGGATACAAAAACAAGACCCATATATATGCTGTCTACAAGAGACCCACTTCAGACCTAGGGACACATACAGACTGAAAGTGAGGAGATGGAAAAAGATATTCCATGCAAATGGAAATCAAAACAAAGCTGGAGTAGCAATACTCATATCAGATAAAATAGACTTTAAAATAAAGAATGTTACAAGAGACAAGGAAGGACACTACATAATGATCAAGGGATCAATCCAAGAAGAAGAT